TGCTGATTCAGGACCAGCACCTGGGCCAGTCTCTTACCACTAGACAGATGAATATGTAAAATTACTGCAAAATTGGCTGTGTATTGTATGTGAGACTGAGTTCTCAACTTTTCTGAGTATTCTTAGGATCATTATCAGAAATTCTAAAATTGAAAAACCATAGTACTTTTTGATTTTACTCCAATCTCCTGGCAGTATCCCTATGTATTGTCAGATAGAATGTAACTATTGGGACTTTATCTTTAAATCTCGATCCTCCAAACCTGACATATAATAAGCACTTAATAAAGATTGGTATCTTTGGTAATGATAATAAGATGTATCTACTTATGAAAATAATACAGATTGATGTCACAGGTATATGTGAACTGTGACTGAATTTTTCTGGTTTATTTAAGAGGCTCAAAGGGTAAATTAAATAATATCCAAGTGACAAACTCCCTTAAATGAAATAATCACTCTCCTTCAAAGTAATATTCTACTCCCTAAACTGATTCATCTTTTTGTCTAAGTTAATTTTAATTCTATTTATTATTTAAATTTTAAAGGTGAGCAATCGAGCTGAGACAATCACTGGGCAAGACAGGCCTTGATCGCCTGACTTTTGTCCCTTATCAGTTACAAATAGTATTTTCTATGTTGATTTTTATTTTATGGTTTCCTCCTAAGCATTTAAGAAGAGAATTAGAATCACAGTTCAGTGAAACTTTAGAACAAGAGAAAGGTCAAAGGTATACAGTTCAATGTTATCTTTCAGGAAACATATGAGGCCTTAAAATTCTAAAACCCAGTTCCTTGACAAAGCTTGTAAAAAGGAGAGAAAAATAGCAAATCATAAATCTGGCCTCTGCTGCTATCTAAAGCAGGAGAAACCATACCAACTTAATCTGTTTGAGTTATAGGGTTAAGAATGTAATCTGTGACTCACAGCTTTATAATAAGGTTTAGGTTTAGTTTCCTCAAATAAAAACTTTTACGGGAGCAGTTTTAATAAGCCTGGTAGTGACTCTGTTGCATTGTTGAAAGGTTGGCATTTTAAGAATAATCTCTGGATTTGAGTGTATTAATGTTAAATAAGTGAAAATGTCTACATATGAAAGATTATTCATATAACATCAAAAAAGCAATTTGAAAATAATCTTTCTCTAATCATAGCCCATTTAGTATTTGCAGTAGTAAAATTAGTGAGAAATAGTAATTCAGCGTTGTGTAGGCTTAGGTGGGAATTAGCTTCATTGCATTGTCTCATTTTCTTGAGGTATTTTGCTCAGGTAAATACTGAATACTGTTATACTTTGAATTCCAGATTTTAGAATATTTAGTCAAATTTGCCTTGTTCTAATGGAAACAGTAAAATTAATAGTTTGCAGTTTATATAAATCTATTTCTCCCATGTATTTCGTACCAGAGTACATAAAATGGAATTAAAAATGCTAAAGGAAGTTTTGTTTTCAGTTTGCAGGGACATTTCCACTGATATTGTACAGGATGTCTAGTCAGTATGAATGAAATCACACTTTTATGATTTCACTAATCTCAACCTTCTGCCTTAATGAAAATAGAGAGTGACCAACAGGAGAAAGGGAATACTTTCCTGATTAAACTGAGGTTCAGAATATGTGATTGTCTGACAGAGAAGTTGCTTGTAGTCTGAGGTTCTTCATAACGCAGGGTGGGAGAAGGGAGTAGTGTTCCCTGTAATTTCTAGGGTAAACTCCAGACCACTTTTTCACCCTTGGGTAAAGCTCAGGAGCCTTGCAGGCGCAAGCGTTGGCTACACCATCTCCCACTCCTGTGCTTTTGCAGGTATTATTTGCAGACATCCTGGCCCTTTGCCTTTCTCATATGTTATGTTGCTCTTCAGAATTCTCCCCCTCACCCACACAGCTCAGACTATTTTGGGGGGCAACCCCTATGTTTTAGATGGCTCACAAAAATGGAGTCAGCTTTGACTTTCTGATTTCCACTAATTTTCTCCTGAGATAAACTTGGGCCATGCTTATAGCCACTTACTTGGCTACATTAGTATTTGACGTGACTTTGGTTTTTACCTGGCGTAGGTCTATTTAAAAATTAACACATTCAAATATCCCTAACAGGCTATTTACCTATTTTTTTCATCCCTTTATTGCCCTTATATCTGTTCTTGAAATTTCAATATTTTGCTGCCACAGTAGGTAAATCTCACTGTAATTACATATCAAGATGTATTAAATTTAAATGAAAAAGTGGGAGAAACTGGGATTTTATATCTGGTACTTTGAAATAAATAAGATATTGTTGCCATTTAAATTTTAAATGAATCTAGTTATGATCTTTGATAAAATGTTTTTCTCTTTATTCTGAGGAATCAGAACACTTCTAGACTGGTCTCTACTTGCAGTGAGCATTTCTAAACAAAAATACCACATTTAGAAAGTACTAGATTGTGTGGATTTTATCATTTATGTAAATTATATGCATCAAAGGCTCTTATGTGTTATTGAAATTTAACTTGTATTTAATACTAAATTAACTGTATGGTTTTGTCATTTGGAAATTTCATTTTGTTGAAGATTTTTAACCTTTAAAACACTTCAGCATGAATTTCCTAAGGTTAAAGACATTTGTCTACAGAAACAGCCCAGTCATTATATCAACTACAATGCATATTCAAAATTTGTGAACAATCCCATTCATACCCTTTATAGCAGTGGTTCTCAACCTTTCTAATGCCGCAGCCCTTTAATACAGTTCCTGTGGGTTGCAACCCATAGGTTGAGAACCGCTGCTTTAGAGCATTTCTGCTAGGCACGCATTGTACTTAGCTGTCTTCATCCGTTAGCTTATTTCAAACTTGAATGATTATTCACACCCCATTTGTCTTTCAGGACATGATATTGATACTTCTGAAGAATGTAAGCCAGTTTTTCTGTGCAATGTGTGTCAACATTTTTCTGATATTTTTACTATTTCCTTATAATTAAATTTTTATTATAAATTTTTGATGTTCATGTCATATAAGTAATCTTATATAGTTTGTAGTGTATCACATCTAGAAACAGGTGTGGTCAGCTTGTTCACTTTTATTAATGTAAATTTGCTCACCTGCTTTTGCCCATTCTGGAAATTCATATAAATTGAACCATACCTGATAATCTTTTGTGTCTAGCTTCTTTTATGCAGTACAATGTTTATTAGATATATTTACATTATTGCATTTTTCAAAAATGTGGTCAGTTTACTGCTTAGTAATTATCTTCTAAATAAGGGGTTAAAAATGTTTTTTCTGTAAAAATTCAGATAATAAATACATTAGGCTTTGCTGGCCACATGCTAGCATATACTAGTCTCATCACATATTAATCTATCTGTCTATCTATCTATCTCCTTTTAAAATGTAAAGACCAGCATTTGCAGTTTTGAGATTTTGTGATGTGGGCCATCCTACACAATGGGAAAGGATATTTGCATATTTTGATGGGACAAAAGCTTGACAACTAAGATCTACAAAGAGCTCAAATTAATCAACATGAGAAAAGCCAACAATTCTTTATGTTAATGGGTAAGAGAGATGAACTGAAACTTCTCTAAAGAAGACAGAGGAATGGCTAACATGAACCCTTTACAATTTTTGTATTAACCTGGATGGAAATGGAACCCATTATTCTTAGTAAAGCATTCCAAGAATGAAGAAGCAAGAATTCTATGTACTCAATTCTGACATGAGGACAGTTCATGGCCTAGTAAACAGTGGGGGGTGGGGGAGGCAGCTGGCAAAGAGAGGGAAGTTGGAGGGGGTTGGAGGGGAATCACAATGTGTAGCACACCTTTCCGGGGCAGGACACATTTACAAGAGGGACTTTACCTAACAAATGCAATCAATGTAACCTGGTTCTTTGTACCCTCCATGAACCCCCAACAATAAAATAAATAAAAAATAGAAGAGAAAGAGAAAAAACAAAAAAAGCCGTAAAGACCATTTGGAGCACTCGAGCTATATAAGCACAAACCTCAGACCAGACCAGATTTGGCCACTGGGCATTAATTTTCTGACTCTTATTCTAAGTGGGTATTTGACATTATTATTAGTCATTCACCTTTAGATAGACACTTTGGCCTTTTCTACTGGTAGTTTTGAGTAATTATAAATGCAATCATTAAGAACATTTCTATAGAAATCTTTGGAAGTTTTTTTATTTTGGTAAAATACACATAACAAAATTTGCCATTTTTTCCTATTGTAACTGTATACTTCTGTGACATTAAGTGCATTTGCCATGTTGTATAAGCATACCTACTATCCATTTCCAGAATTTGTTCAAATAGAAATTGTACACCCACTAAACAGTAATTCTTCATTCCCCTTGTTGTGCCCGAAATTCCCCTAAGTGGCCCCAACAGACAGTCCATGACCCACTCCGATGTAAAAAGCAAGAGGTGAGTTTTATTCAAGCCTGGGCCTGGACTCTCCTCCTGGCATGCAAGCCGAGGAAGAGCCCCAAACCTGGGGTGTGCAAGGTTTTTATGAGGTACAGAAGGCAAAAAAGGGTAGGGTCAGGGTACAGGTACACTCCTGATTGGTGGTTGATGATTTCATTAGTAAAGGAGGGTTTGGATTGGTACAGGTGAGGGGTGGGGGATTTCTTAACTGGGGGGCCTAAGGTGGTGCAGCCTGATTGGGTAGTTGAAGGAGAATACCTGAATTTCAAGGAAGTAGAAACCTATTGCCTATTATGGGAGCTGTTCAAGGAAACTGATACTTATTGCCTATTATGGCAGCTGTCTGCCTAAGGTGACTAAATCAACGGCTCAATGGCTGTGCAACCAGGGGTGGGGGAAGCAGCAGAGAGTGGCCCTGCGATTTAACAGAGCTTATGCAGTAAACGACAAAATGGCACTGGTCTGGCCCTTTTACCCTTTCACCCTTTTATTTCTCATATTTAAGTGTCTTGGTGTAGAATTGTTGGATCTTAAGATAGATAGATGTGTTAAAGCTCTTTTAGAATTTACAGCTCTTTTAGAACTTACAGCTCTTTTAGAATTTACCTAGCAAGCCTTCTGGTTCTACCACTGAGAGACCACCAGGAACACATGTAAAAGCAAAGGAGCATCTTTATTCTCAAGCATATGCTTGGGTCACACCTCTGGACAGCATGAACAGCAAGACTGTGCAGAGGCGACCCTGTTACAGAAGCCAAGGTGGTTTTTATACATTCTAGGGGTGACAGCGACTGGGTGATTGGTTCATTTTGGATCTGGTTGGGGATTGGTTATTAAGTGAATCCTGTCAGGGATTGGTTGGAACTCAATCCCAGACAAGATTGGTTGGGGCTGAGGCTCTTTTCCTCGAAGGGCTGTGGCTCAGCATTTTCTAGGAAGGGTCTCCTGTCTGTTTTTGATAAGGGGGACTCCACCTGGGTTGGCTGTCCCCTCCCTGGGTGGTTCTGCTTGTGGTTTTTCTGTTTCGGCCTGGGGCTCAGTGTAGGGCCTACTTACAAAATGGAGTCTCTGCTGTCTCTTCAGATGTGTGTTTAATTTTATAAGAATTTGAGGAAGAATTTTTCAAAATGATTCTATCTTTCCATACACGTTCCATATGAGTCCTAGTTTGGTGCATATCTCATCAAGATTTTGTTCTTTAAGTGCTTCCGATTTTTACCGTCCTTATAGATGTTCCAACAGTCATCCTGAGACCCAGGTTTCTTTCTGTCTTCATCCGGCATTCCCTCATGACCCTCTGCGTTGTAAAAGCCAGCTCCTATCTGCTTTTCAGTGCAGAAAGGACAAAGAGGACATGAGGGCCAAGCAGTCTGTCATGGGAATCTTATACAGAGATTCATCTATCTCTTCCACTTCCAGGCCACAGAAGAGATCTTAGTACCGGTGGGGAACTTCAGTGAGACCCAACTAGATATACCAGTAATCATCTTATCTACAGTGCTCTATAATAGATGATTATAATCTTTTTTTTAAACATTTTCAGGTATGCATATCTGCATTTCTTATGAAGCAGCCATTACAATTCCATCAACTCAAATTGTTAACAATGTGTGTGTTGGGGTGTGTGTGTTTTCTGAGTTGGGCCAATAATCATAATCATCAAATATTCATTCATGTCCAATAATATTTTTATTAATTTTTCATTGAGACCAATTTCTCATTTTTGAACCATTTGAAAATGACTTATAATTTGATGAATTATTTTGTAGTTTTAGAAACAATCTTTGATGAACGTGTATATATACATTTTTGAGACAGGGTTGTGTTCTCTCACTTGGGCTATGGTACAACAGTGTCATCCTACCTCACAGCAACCTCTAACTCTTGAGCTCAGGTGATCCTCCTGCCTTAGCTCCCCTAGTAGCTGGGATTATAGGTGCATGCCACAATGCTTGGCTAATTTTCCTACTTGAATAATATATTTTTAAAATTCATATAAACTGGTTACCTTAGAGGATTAAATGTAGCCTCTAAATTACTTAATTTGCAACCAGTATGAATCTTAACCACTCCATTGAAGTCTGGCTGAATTTTAGGGTCTATGTAAATTTCTAATATAAATGAAAACCTCTTTCACTCATTATAAAATATGCAAACTATTTTGCTTATCTATTTTAGAGGTATTAGGAAAATGATTAAAAGTTTAGCATGATTTTGGAACTCCATTCCAGAATTACAGAATTTCCTAGAAAAGTATATGCAGGGCCTACATGACTTCTCTGATGAATTTATTACATCTATTAATAATCAGAGGTAGTTTCCATAAACAGTTCATTTCATCATGGATATATATATCACTATTAAGAATAATTTTATTCTATGTTTTAAAGTATTTGGTAACTGCAATATTCTCAAAGTCTCTAGAAATAATCTTTTCATAACTACTATTTAGTTTTCATTTTAAGAGTAAGTGTAAACTTTTTACACATTTGGAGAATTGAGATATCATTCTTCACTTGTCTCATATGATAAAAAATTAATGTGAGGGTCCATAATTTGTCATTTTCTTGTCTGGAAAATGATAGCAAATATTACATCAGCAGGCACATATTTGTTTTGTGTAACTTTAATACTTTTGACATTTTGCCAGATAGAAAAAAGACATTTTATTTGATTTTACTTTGCACTGTTCTATTGTATTATGATTCTTGAATTTTCTTTATTAGATGTTAGTGTCTTCTGTTCATGAATCTCTCCATTTTTTTTCCTACTGAATTACTTTTTCTTTTTTTTTCTGCAAGTTTTGTTTTCTAAACTAGACTTAATCACTGTTAGTTATATGTGTTGCAAATTATTTCTCCAATTTCTGCAGCATTTTCAGTTCATAATACATCCTACTATAAATACAACATTTTAGTTTTTTTTTTTTTTTGGCCTGGGCTGGGTTTGAACCAACCACCTCTGGCATATGTGGCCAACACCCTACTCCTTGAGCCATAGGTACCGCCCAACATTTTAGTTTTAAAGTAGTAAATATTATCAATCTTTCTGTAATTGTAAGTACACTTATACATTACTGGAGGTATAAAAGGTGAGAACTGGAGTGAGGGCCCCAAAACTCTGTGAAGGAACAGGCTTAGCTAAAATAATAAGAGTAATCAAAGTCTGTAAAGAAACAGGCTTAGCTAAAATAATAAGAGTAATCAAAGTCTATAAAGAAACAGGCTTAGCTAAAATAATAAGAGTAATCAAAGTCTGTAAAGGAACAGGCTTAGCTAAAATAATAAGAGTAATCAAAGTCTGTAAAGGAACAGGCTTAGCTAAAGTAGTAGTAATAATAATAATTAATAATAATAACAACTCTGTAAAGGAACAGCTTTAGCTAAAATAATGATAGTTATCAGCCACTGTTCCCTTGTCTGCTTGTTAATAGTCACTGTCCCCTGCTTACTTCCAGCTTCTGGTTATAATGATTAACTTTTTCCACATAGCTAGTAGTTGTAAAGATTCTTGACTTTTCCCCATAGACAAAATCACCTTTTAAAACCCTAAAAGTAGTTTATGAGATATCTTCCAGGCCTTCCAATTTCATACATTAGCTAGTCCATCCAGACCAGTGGCCCACAGCAAAAAATTCACTCAACTAGAATCATGACCCCAGGAGCTGAAGCAAAACAAGAAGGTGATTGATTTCCACACTCCTGTAATTTGGCTCCAACCTTAACCAATTAGCAAGCTAGTTCCTAACCCCTGCCTGTCAGACTATCCTTAAAAATCCTGTCTTCCTGATTCTCAGGAAGTGGATTTGAGAAATTCCACCCACCTCTCCATTTAGCACTATGTGGTATAAACTCTCTCTGCTGTCTCTGGATATTGGCTTTCTCCAGGGCGGAGGGCAGATGAATCTGGCTGGGCAACAACATCAGTGGTTATTATTATTCTTATTTTCTATAGAAAATATTATCTGGCTCAGCACCTGTGGCTCAAGTGGCTAAGGCGCCAGCCACATACACCTAAGGTGGTGGGTTCGAATCCAGCCCGGGCCCACCAAACAACAATGATGGCTGCAACCAAAAAATAGGCAGGCATTGTGATGGGTGCGTGTGGTCCCAACTACTTGGGAGGCGGAGGCAGGAGATTTGCTTGAGCCCAGGAGTGGAGGTTGCTGTGAGCTGTGATGCCACTGCACTCTACCCAGGAGGACAGCTTGAGGCTCTGTCTCAAAAAAAAAAAAAAAAAAAAAGAAAGAAAATATTATCTACCACCAAGGTTATAACATTATTCTCCTATTTCTCTCCTATAAGGTTTGAAGTTATTTTTTTCACATTTTCTCTTTAATTTATATATAATGCTTTATGTTCACAGTATAATTAAAAATGAAAAATTTTAGTTAATTTTTTGTATGTATACTCAGATGTTTCTGTTGACTAGCATATTCTGTATCTACAAATTAATAGAGTCACCGTTTTGTCATAGATAATGAAAATGTGAAGTAATTAGGGCTCCCTGTTCTTTGGCATTGGTCCTTTTCTCTCCTCCCAGTAACACCACACTGACTTACTATTGTCAATAGTTTATTTTTGTTCATCAGGAAAAGTTTCTCTCCTTGTCTTTCTTCAAGAGTCACAGCCATGTAAGTTTTTGAATAATCATGAAATATTTACAAAAGTATTTTCAGTATTTTGTTTAGATAAACATTTGTCCCATTTGTTAATGTTGCAAGTAAATATACTTATTATCTTTGCTGTTGCCATCTATGGATACATTCCCATATTTTTATGTCATTTTTATTATCTTTCTATAAGCGTGTATGTTTTTATCCAGAGAATTTAAATAGCTTTACTTAATATACTGCTATTTATTTATCATATATTTTTTTGATATTTTACCTCTTATCTTTAAAAATTTAGTTTTACTTGGAAGTGATGCAAGGAAATGTTGTATATTGTTCTTATTTCTAAATAACATTGCTAAACTTTCCTAATAATTAAAAAAAAATATAGACTCCCTATTATGTAAAGAAAATTATGGTTTGATGTTTTTTCACTCTCATCTTTATATCTTTCATTTGTTTATTGCTTATTTTCTATTTAGGTTAATATCAATTAATGCAGGTAATGATTCTGGTGTAATGGAAATAAAAAGAATGACACTAACCTCCAACTGCCAGTTCATGATTTTAAGTATTTTGTCAATAGTTGTGATCCTCCCATAGGTGTTTGTTTCTAAGATGCATTTATAAACAAGCCATAAAAGATGAAACAAATTTGCATTGCAGAAAGATTATGTTCTCCAACAGTTAAAGTATTTAATCATTGGTATGAGAGCTATACCTTTCCAATTAAATCATAAAGATTCAAGTATGTGGTTTTGCATCTCTGTAAAGTACTTCAATGGATTCTGGTTATTTTACTATTTCAAAATTTCCTACCATTGAGTATCATGTCTAATCAAAATAATTAAATTGTGTGTATTTTTCCTGAGAACATACCTTGTGCTAGTTTTGATAATGATTCTTACTGTTATGGGCTTGGTGCCTGTAGCACAGTGGTTAAGGCGCCAGCTATGTACACTGGCGGGTTTGAACCTGGCCAGCTAAACAACAATGACAGCTGCAACAAAAAATAGCCAGGCCTTGTGGCA